AAGATATTCAGGAAAATCTTACATTGTAGTTATTGTCAATATGAATGCAAGTCTGGGTGTTGAGTAAATAGTCAAGGCGTACAATTCGTTTTATTTGTCGTCCTGGTTGCAGTCCATGATATTGACAATAAATACAATCTGGCGACTCGTTCAGTGGTTAGCGTATGTGTGATGTTTGCATGAAGTTGAGTTAATTTAAAATACTAAACCGAAAAGCTTATACCTTGTAGAGAAACGAGAAAAGTTCACATAAGACCGCATCACAAAATTGTATGAAATGGCGCCCAACGTGTTACGGATGAGACAAACGTAGGAGGACATTCCGTGCTCCGTATTGTAAACGAGCGTCACTTCGGGAATTCCGGCATACAAAGGTTATTCTCCAGGAAAGTTGTCACTGTTAGTGTTTACAATGGTTGGTTCCCGGAATCTGTCTCAGTGTAGCTCTGTGGTGTATAAACTCCGTTGATTTAACTCTGCATAAAAAAGCCAGTGAACTGGTCTATCTCTATCTGACGATCCGTTTGAATGTCTGTTGAGCTGAGAAGAGCTTCATGACATGATATTGATGCTGTGTACAGCTGATTGAGGCACATACCTAGAGTGTCGAAATGATTTCCCGTGGAACTGACTCTATGTGATCAATTATTACGCGATTTACATATGTTTCATGGTGTTTGGCAATTTATATCAATTATTGACAATTTCAATTTAATTTTCAACATGTGATATATATTTTTCTATGTAAAGTTTTGTAATTTGAATATTTGAATAAGTATAATTTTGAAAATTGCATGAAATGTATAAACTCACATAGTTATTAGGGATAGGATAGACGTATTGTAGGTTGTTGCTGTGCCTTAATATATAACATAAAGACTGGTTATCATGTTTTAATTTTCAATTTTATTAGGCTACCAGGAGAGATATTATTACCCACTGCATCATCACCATAATCATCAGGTTAACATGTTCAGGTCCTGTGCCATGGACATCCCTCAACTTCCTTTCCCCCTGTTCGTGTATAGTAAGGTAAGAATCACTTGTGTATGAGGTGTGAGTGCAGGAAGAGGGTATTGTAAAATAATTCTGCTTTATATATGGGCAAGAATTAGCTAATGTAACCCTAAGTGTGACATTGCAAGAAAAAAATAAAATATTCATAAGCCTACAAATTCTGTTTGAAGTATAACTGTAAATGGTGTCTTTCTATGTGTGACAAAAAAATCATTTTGAAACTTACTTCAGTTAAGAACAAATAGAATTAATTAATTTAGAGCATGTAACATTGACACTATTCCCAGACTGAGATTGATGTTTCTTTGACCTGTTTAAAGTTTAGTATTAGGTTTGTTTATCTAAAATATTGTCCGTCATCTCGACTTAAAAAATTGCATTTTTCAAATTTATCATGTATTTCAGAAATTCTATGAAAACAGGTTTCCTCTTATTGTTCTGTCAGTGTTACATGCAATTATTAAGAGATAAATATAATCAGAATTATGTTCTTGGTAAACAAGAAAAGTAATGTTTTCATTGTGTTACTGTCAATATTTTTGCAACCATCTCATTTCAGTAATAAAGTAGTTACACATATGTTGCATGTAACATGGACACAAAAAATTTGAATCATAAAGCATGCCAGAAATGCTATTAAAACATATGACACATTGACACCAAAAACGTGCTACTATTTATTTTCAGGTCAAGGATACGTACGGAAATCGTTCCCACCAAATAATCGCTATCGTGAGGTCAAACCTGTTTCAAATACTAGATCTACTGTCTTTTTTGTTTTTTGTTGTTTTTTTTTTTTGTTGAAAAATACAAAGAAAAAATCACACATTATCAAAGATCATATTTTATTCCGAATGTGTGCGTATTACTTCGTTACGTGATCAAAATTACCAGATTCCGTGGTCTCCTCGAGTTCCTCTACACCGATAGACGCTATATTGGAAAACTGCATAGTCACGTGTTAACGTTACTGGGAGCGGTTCGAAATATCGCAAAAAAAAATTATCTTTACGCGATCTGTTACAGAAATACAACTGTTCTAAAGAGAGAGGGTACTTTAGGGTAGTTTGGACACGAAAATTAATTATATCTTATTACCTGATATATTTTCCGAACTCCAGTTGATTGATGAAAATTACGACAATCATATCGTACCTTGTGTTGACACTTCGTAAATTTGCAAATGTCGTGTCGATGATGCGTTTCCAAACAAATTTACTGAGGGAAACGTGCACGTAACGTTTGTTGACGCGAAAAGTTACGTACATTGGTCTATTTTCAATCCTATTTTTTTGCAGCCTTAATCAAATCCTGTACAAAACAAGCATTTTTATCGGTAGACCAATCATTTTGCAGTTGATTAACAACTTTTACAGCACCACAATTCTTAAGGCATTTACTAAATACGACTCGGATTTTCACTACTGCAGAATTTCACACTTTTTGCCTATAATTCATCCACTGACGGCGTACAACTTGTGCTGTTTCCTTGTTATTTAATCAATTAGACCAATTTGTTTTTTCATATGACGATAGAAATAAACCAATTTCAATATCTAAACAATGTTTATTCTCCATGCTTGCATGATTTGTTTTTTATTGGATAAACTACTTTGACACTAAAATTTCATTAGCGAATTCTTGCCCATATAATAGGGTGACATTGTACATTATCTATACCTCGCCCCTTGCCCTGTATATTTATTAACATTTGAATCATTTTTGCCTCAGTCAAGCTTCTTCATAATTCAAGATGTTCATGAGTGTATCCAAATTACAGAAATTTGTTGAAAAACCTTTTTCTGATGTACCATCAGTGTAAAATAGGAAGGCTGTATTATTTACAAGTAGCAAAGTCTTTTCTCTCAGGAAACATGTTGATTTGATACAATTTGGTTTTGATATTGATTTTTACTGTAAAGCTGGAGCTCGTTTTGATACATCATACACATCTTTAGTTAGACTCCTTCCAAATTTGGTAGATAGCTTGTCATTAAGGACATGGATACATTAGACCTTCAATTTACAGAAGCAAATGGATCATCATTACCTTAGTCATATAGATTGTACTGTTATCTTACCATTTTGTTCATGTTTGGATTTTAATGTACTTATCTGATACTTTTCACAACAAAAATTGTCCTGTTATTGTTGGCACAGACACTATTAGGTTTGCTATAGAATTGTCATCTTCAGATGCAAACATTCCTCCTGTGTGGAAAATAGTCACCGATGATGTAAGTACAGTTTATTCGGTACATTGTAAAGGTAAGAAACCTGTACAGGTGGCACCTTACTCGACAGTTGTTGTCAATGGAATAGCCCGAGGTGTGGATACAAATGTTACTGACTTAGTCACTGAGAACCGTAACTGTACCAACCAACCTTACTCTGTTTACCCTCGAATTATCAAGGTCAAAGGTCAGGTGTCAAGTGTCAAGGTCCAGGTTAAGTTGTATAACGCTACCGAAAAGCCTATTGATATATGGCCTAAATCGTTTTTGTGTAATGTTTCTCAGGCTGTTGATAATTTAGCATCTGGTATTCATTAAACTTCATCTGAGCAGGCTGAAAGTCATTCATTACCTGAGTGGTGCAATTGTTATGTGTTCACCATGTGCTCGGAAACTGGAAACATGCGTTTCCAAGTGGTCCTTTTGACTTGGGACGTACAGACTTAGTTCAACATAAGATCAAACTTGTCAATGATCAACCCTTTAAACAACCGTACAGGAAAATACCACCCGGTATGTACGAAGAAGATTTCAGCATGTAACGGACATGCTAGATGCAGGTGTCATCAGGGAGTCAAACAATCCTTATTCCTCCAATGTCGTCTTGATTAGGAAGACGGATGGCTCTCTGCGGTTTTGCATTGATTACCGAATGCTTAACTCGAAAACCCGTAAAGATGCATATATGTTGCCTCGATTTGACGATACTGTGGACTCATTAATTGGGTCAACGTATTTTAGCAAACTCGATTTACGGTCAGGTTACTGGCAAGTAGAGGTTGCGGAGGCTGATAGGGAGAAGACAGTTTTTTTCTGTCGGAAACCTGGGTTTCTTTGAAACAAACCGCATGGGGTTTGGCCTTACCTGTGCTCCAGCCACGTTCCAGCGGCTTATGGAGAAATGCATGGGTGATCGAGGGGAATGTCTCATATTTCTCGACGACATCTTCATCTTCTCTAAAACATTTGACGAGCACATCGGTATGCTAGCATCCGTATTTACCAGACTGGTTCAGCATGGGTTGAAATTCAAACCTTCCAAGTGTGAATTCTTTAAATCTAGCATCACCTACCTTGGACATGTAGTGTCAGAGAAGGGTATTGCAACCGATCCTGAAAAAGTGTCGGCTGTTAAAGATTGGCCTGTACCAGCAACTGTCAAAGAAGTACGACAGTTTTTAGGGTTCTGTGGTTACTATCGGCGGTTCATCAAGGACTTTGCTAGTAAAGTACAGCCCCCAAATCAGCGTTTACAGGGTCATGATCTTTCTAAAAAAGGTTCTAAACCTACAAAGATCAAGCCTAAACCAAAAGCGGGTTGGATCTGGGGAGACCTACAGCAAAAGGCTTTTGACTCTATAAAGGCTAAACTGTTGGAGCCTCCCGTAATAGCTTATACTGACTATACCAAACCTTTCATCCTACATACTGATGCTTTGGCAACAGGGCTTGGTCCTGTTCTTTACCAGCTTCAAAATGGAAAGGAAAAAGTCAAAGCGTATGCTAGTCAGGGACTCAAACCAAGTGAGCGGAACTAACCAGCGCATAAGCTTGAAGTTTTAGCACTTAAGTGGGCTGTTACTGACAAACTTCATGATTACTTATATAGTAATACTTTTGAGGTCGTCATAGATAACAATCCCCTTCCTTATGTGATTGGTAAAGCCAAGTAGGATTCCACCGGGCACCGGTGGATTGCTGCTCTGGTCAATTACAATTTTACTCTTAAATACCGTGTCGGGAAGAATAATGCCTACGCAGATGGTTTATCTCGAGTATGTTACACAAGTACCAATGTCGTTAAGGCTGTACGTCAGTCCGCCGGTACTGATTACCCCTGTCCGGAAAGGTGGGTTTGAAAACATTTTGGTCATTACTGATCATTTCACTAGGTATGCTCAGGCAGTGCCGTGCCTAAGTCAGAAGGCACATGTGACAGCTAAGGCGCTATATGAAAATTTCATCGCCTTCTACAGCTTTCCTGTGCGTTTACATAGTGATCAGGGACGTATCTTTGAAAGCAAAATAATCAAAGAGCTCCGCAAGCTTGCAGTAGTCTCTAAGTTCCGAACCACACCATACCATCCAATGGGAAACGGCCAAGTTGAAAGGTTCAACAGAATTTTGTTGTCAATGCTCGGTACCTTAGAGCATGGCCAGAAAGCTGACTGGAAATCTTACGTAGTGCCTCTGGTGCAGGCCTACAATGCCACAAAGAATGACTCCACCGGATATTCACCCCACTTCTTAATGTTTGGGTGGCACCCACGCCTGCAGATGACGCATTCTTTGGTATAGAACCAAGGAGTGAGGGAGCAGCAGAACCAACTTCATCTGTTGGCAAGCTCAGAAATAGGATGAAATATGCCTATAAAGCTGCTCGAGCATCCAAGAATGCTGCCTGCAACAAAGTATCTCGGCTCAATGTTGGTGACCAAATACTGGTTAGGAATGTCGGTCTTCAGGGAAAGCAAAAAATAGCTGACAAATGGAAACAGGAACCTCATTTGGTTTTGAAGATACCAGATAGTGACATTCCAGTGAAACTTGAATCGGGCAAAGGTGGCGTACGCACCCTTCACAGAAACATGCTGTTGCCCTTTAATTATATGCCTGTAGACGGTCCTGAGGAGGTAGCTCTTCCCAGAGCAAGACCCTCCGTTCCAGCTACAGCCGAGAATGAGAATTCAACATCTGCTGATTCCGACAGCAGTGACGACTATGCTCCTATTCTTCCTTCGCGTCCAAAGAGGCGTTCCAGGGTCCAGAATGTAAGGCCAGCGGAGCCAGTCCGTGAGGTCATCACCCTGGATGAGACTCAGCTCACGGTCAGTGATAGCTCTCCCCGTGAAACAGTTTTTGAAGCTGAGAATCTTGATATGTCCATACCGGAAGTGCGCCCTCCTTCTCCAGAAGTAAGGGCTACTACACAGGACACCTCACCGGTTGCACCGCGGCGCTCCACACGGAGTATCAAACCTCCAGACAGGTTTGGTGAATGGACATACCACTCCCAACAGGTCGGGTGGAGTCCTGGTTACAAGGAAACGTCAGTGTAAATAAAGCAACTCGGACTCTCTATTCCACGTGCCAAACTATTACATTATTTTAGCATTTTGTTTGTGCTTTTTATACTCGGGTTTTGTCCTTTATATACCAATAGGTCGGGCTGTCCCCATCCACTGTATCGGGATCTTGATTCATGTCATTCATGGTCATTGATTTAAATTAGAAATATATTTTACCTACTGCTGTTTTCAACGAATTATCAGGGGTTGACCTTACTCAGACTTGGTGCTAATACTATCTTTACTTGTGAAGGTAAGGATATGATAATTAATGGTGTAGAAATTTAGTTTAAAGGGTCTCCGCTTGCCCAGTAACTTTTGACTGTGCTCTATGGAATGAATCCTTGTTGTATCTAGCACAAGTGATGGTATATCTTCCATTTATTCTATTAAAGTTGGAATTCACTAGGATCTACATGTTGAAATAGAAATGTCAGGAGTCATTGTCCAAAAGGGAAATATGTAACCAGGTGTACGTAATTCTCTATGTCACCAGCGCGCGCGAAATTAGCACGAGCTGTGAGAGACTGTGAGAGTTTAGCATGCGCGTGTCACGAAGAACCTGTCCTCGGATTCCAGTTACGTCATTCCCCACCTGGCCAGCACCATGTGCACATGCACATTCTCCCCTGATAAGTATTGGTCCAATATATAATATTGCGTTGTAAGTTAATTATAAGTAACTGTCTTATGTTATAAGTAACTGTAATGCATGTAATGCGCATTGCATGCTCCTGTGTTACCAGAAATAAAGTGCGGAACAAGAACACCCGACGTCTTCGTCTTCTGTTAAATGGCCCTGCAGTAAAAGGGTACATAACGTCACATATTACACACATCTGTACCTGTACTTACGTTAGTTTTTGTTAACTTGTGCTAGGTTCTGGGGCAGGCGGATTATTCCTAATTTTCATGTCATACTTACCCTGAGTTTATACAATTCAATTCGATTGAATCAATGTCATTTTACCTGTAAAATTCAAATAACACCTCTAAACAACACCGATTTCATGTTCATGTCGTATGCCACAGTGTCTGCAAGCGGGTACAATATACACTTCCTGTTCACAGATAGGGGCCCGATACAGGGCAACCTAGGTTATTGTATATCATAATTAGGTTTCGATGATTTGGAAAAATAAGTTGTCTTTCTTGTAAAACACACACAAACATTCACGCACATATAAATCAATTCGAGTTGTTGTCCTTGTAAAAAGGATATATATTTGCCGATTAAAGTAGTGAGAAGGCATCCATGTTTGTACTGCTATGGTTTGACTTCGTTAATGAAACGTCTTTAACGGTAAGATACTGCCGGGGACGTGTTATACACATAAGAACCTGCCAGGGACGTGTTAGAGGCAGTAAGATACTGCCAGGGACGTGTTATACACATAAGAACCTGCCAGGGACGTGTTAGAGGCAGTAAGATACTGCCAGGGACGTGTTATACACATAAGAACCTGCCAGGGACGTGTTATACACATAAGAACGTGCCAGGGACGTGTTAGAGGCAGTAAGATACTGCCAGGGACGTGTTATACACATAAGAACCTGCCAGGGACATGTTATACACATAAAAACCTGTCAGGGACGTGTTATACGCATAGGAACCTGTCAGGGACGTGTTAGAGGCAGTAAGATACTGCCAGGGACGTGTTATACACATAGGAACCTGCCAGGGACATGTTATACGCATAGGAACCTGTCAGGGACGTGTTAGAGGCAGTACGATACTGCCAGGGACGTTGTATACACATACGAACCTGCCAGGGACGTGTTAGAGGCAGTAAGATACTGCCAGGGACATGTTATACACATAAGAACCTGCCAGGGACGTGTTAGAGGCAGTAAGATACTGCCAGGGACATGTTATACACATACGAACCTGCCAGGGACGTGTTAGAGGCAGTAAGATACTGCCAGGGACGTTGTATACACATACGTACCTGCCAGGGACGTGTTAGAGGCAGTAAGATACTGCCAGGGACGTGTTATACACATAAGAACCTGCCAGGGACGTTGTATACACCTACGAACCTGCCAGGGACGTGTTAGAGGCAGTAAGATACTGCCAGGGACATGTTATACACATAAGAACCTGCCAGGGACGTGTTAGAGGCAGTAAGATACTGCCAGGGACGTGTTATACACATAAGAACCTATCAGGGACATGTTATACACATAAGATACTGCCAGGGACGTGTTATACACATAAGAACCTATCAGGGACATGTTATACACATAAGATACTGCCAGGGACATGTTATACACATAAGAACCTGCCAGGGACGTTTTAGAGGCAGTAAGATACTGCCAGGGACGTGTTATACACATAAGAACCTATCAGGGACATGTTATACACATAAGATACTGCCAGGGACATGTTATACACATAAGAACCTATCAGGAACATGTTATACACATAAGAACCTGTCAGGGACGTGTTATACACATAAGAACCTGCCAGGGACATGTTATACACATACGAACCTGCCAGGGACGTGATATACACATACGAACATGTCAGGGACGTGGTATACACATAAGAACCTGTCAGGGACGTGGTATAGACGTGTTAGAGGCAGTACGATGCTGCCGGGGACGTGTTATACACATAGGAACCTGCCAGGGACATGTTATACGCATAAGAACCTGTCAGGGAGGTGTTAGAGGCAGTAAGATATTGCCAGGGACGTTGTATACACATATGTACCTGCCAGGGACGTGTTAGCGGCAGTAAGATACTGCCGGGGACGTGTTATACACATAAGAACTTGCCAGGGACGTGTTAGAGGCAGTAAGATACTGCCAGGGACGTGTTATACACATAAGAACCTGCCAGGGACGTGTTAGAGGCAGTAAGATACTGCCAGGGACGTGTTATACACATAAGAACCTGCCAGGGACGTGTTATACACATAAGAACGTGCCAGGGACGTGTTAGAGGCAGTAAGATACTGCCAGGGACGTGTTATACACATAAGAACCTGCCAGGGACATGTTATACACATAAAAACCTGTCAGGGACGTGTTATACGCATAGGAACCTGTCAGGGACGTGTTAGAGGCAGTAAGATACTGCCAGGGACGTGTTATACACATAGGAACCTGCCAGGGAACGCATAGGAACCTGTCAGGGACGTGTTAGAGGCAGTACGATACTGCCAGGGACGTTGTATACACATACGAACCTGCCAGGGACGTGTTAGAGGCAGTAAGATACTGCCAGGGACATGTTATACACATAAGAACCTGCCAGGGACGTGTTAGAGGCAGTAAGATACTGCCAGGGACATGTTATACACATAAGAACTTGCCAGGGACGTGTTAGAGGCAGTAAGATACTGCCAGGGACGTGTTAGAGGCAGTAAGATACTGCCAGGGACGTGTTATACACATAAGAACCTGCCAGGGACGTTGTATACACCTACGAACCTGCCAGGGACGTGTTAGAGGCAGTAAGATACTGCCAGGGACATGTTATACACATAAGAACCTGCCAGGGACGTGTTAGAGGCAGTAAGATACTGCCAGGGACGTGTTATACACATAAGAACCTATCAGGGACATGTTATACACATAAGATACTGCCAGGGACATGTTATACACATAAGAACCTATCAGGGACATGTTATACACATAAGAACCTGTCAGGGACGTGTTATACACATAAGAACCTGCCAGGGACATGTTATACACATAAGAACCTGCCAGGGAGACGTGATATACACATACGAACATGTCAGGGACGTGGTATACACATAAGAACCTGTCAGGGACGTGGTATAGACGTGTTAGAGGCAGTAAGATACTGCCAGGGACGTGTTATACACATAAGAACATGTCAGGGACTCAACAAGAATAAGAACGTGAACATTGCATAATTGTCGATTATTGCCTCGTCCTCACTGCGTCCTCTGTCATATCGCAGTCTTCACGGTCAACGTTTAGTGTAGACAGCGTGGTCTCCATGGTTATCGTTTTGTGTGGACAGCGCGGTCTTCATGGTCATCGTTAAGTGTGGACAGCGTGGTTTTTATGGTCATCGTTTAGTGTGGACAGCGCGGTCTTCATGGTCATCGTTTAGTGTGGACAGCGCGGTCTTCATGGCTATCGTTTAGTGTGGACATCGCGGTGTTCATGGTCAGAGTTTAGTGTGAACAGCGCGGTGTTCATGGTCATCGTTTAGTGTGAACAGCGTGGTCTTCATGGTCATCGTTTAGTGTG